AAAAAAGAAAGAAAGAAAGAAAGAAAGAAAGAAAGAAAGAAAACATCGAATTAAGATAAAAAAAAACGTCAATGTCGGACAAGAACCCGAGTCTTAGAGCCGATGGAATTCGAGGATAAAAACAGCAAATTGATTTCTACAAAAAGCTATCAGCTCTGCCTTGAAAAGATTCGAAGACATACGTATGCTTCAGTACACACTACCATGTATATATATATATATATATATATATATATATATATATATATATATATATATATATATATATATATATATATATTTCAAGAACACATAAAATGACGTACCTTTAGACAAAGCTCTGCCCTTCTCATGTAATTTCAAATACATGCACACACTCCTACAGTAGCATAATGAAAATAAGGGAAATGTCTTATTTCCTCTTATGACTCTTTTATATTATATACAGATTAAAGTACATTTTTATTCTTTTAATTGCTAAGTATTTTAAGGACAATAGTTTAGGCACTGTAATATAATGTTGCATTGTTAAAATTAATGCGATCAAAAGACACACCATTAAGATACGCCATTAATATTTAATATCTAAGCCACAAAAGAATTAAAATGAGTAATAACAAGCAGTATTACCTGGGTAGTTAAGTGAAAGTTATACATACATACACACACACACACACACACACACATATATATATATATATATATATATATATATATATATATATATATATATTATTTATATTATTCAGACTATTGTCCTCATCTTTGTTGCCATATTTATCATAACGTTTCGCCCGTTGTACGCTCCAGGCTTCTTCAGATGTTTGGAACGTCAAATTGAACCCTTTATTTCGGTCACTGGGGTAGACTGTTCTAGTTCCACGTGCCATATCTAATGGAGGTCAGTTATCAATTATCTCCTGTTAATTCTCCTCTCCAAGTTCTTTTAGGCATATCTGATTGAATCAATTACAGACATTATGTCTGCTAATTTTTAACAAAATCCGTTCATACTCACGAATAACCTTCCGTGTATTGATGTTAAACAAAGTGACTAGCGTCGGGCACCTAATGAGGATCGAACCTTCAACAGTAATAATAGTCGGTTCGTCTTGTTACCAAGCCAATGTTTTCCTTCTTAGTGTTCGTTCCCATCTCAAACAGATCAAAGAAATATTTTTAAAACTAGAAACATTGATACATTTGTAGATCTAGAAAGTGCCGAGTAAATCAGCTGGTATATTTATCTTTAGTCTTTCGATGGCTCGACGCGCCCGAAGCGAAGTTAATTAACTAAGACAAGCGAAGAGTAAAAGGAAAATGTTTGTTTTAAGTTCATATTTGAACTTTCTTGCTGTCTGCTCCGATGCACTCGTAAAAAGTTTTGGGCTTCAATGATTTTACTAATGGAACCAAATTGAAAAACTACAGTTTTTGAATAAACTTATAAGTAGCTTGATGATATTACATCAGTGAAAAGTCTCCAGCTTTTTATATGACAAGATAATGCTATTTACATTATTTACATTATTCGGACTATTGTCGTCATCTTTGTTGCCATATTTATTACAACATTTCGGCTGTTGTACGCTCCGGCCTTCTTCAGGTGGTTGGAATGTCGAACTGAACCCTTTATTTCGCTCACTGGGGCAGACTGCTTTAGTTCCGCGTGCCATGTTTAATGGATGTCAGTTATCAGTTATCTCCTGTTAATTTCCCTCTGAAAGTTCTCCGCTGCTTTAACCGGGTATTGAACTCACACTCTTTGGGTCCTGTCACTGGATCTAACTAACGCCTTTATCCACTGTGTCATGTGTCCTAACATCTATTGTGTAATGGTTAGCAAGCTTGTCTCGCTAGAACAATTACGTTTGAATAGTGAGTTCGATTCTCATTGGGTACCCCCTACTTTCGGCCTTGTGCCACATCTAAGCTACACTTGGAAAATCACTGTATCTGTTAAAATGAGATGTCCGCGTTATTTTCATTTTTGCGTAATTTAAACGACATTTTATCCATCGCATCTTTTATAATTCAAACGACATTTTATCCATCGCATCTTTTATAGTTGCTTTCTTGAAGATGTTTACCGTGTTTAAAGTCATGTCGGTAACATTTCAAATGTCGTGATATTTGTCTCAGTTAATTAATTAATTTAATTAAGAACGTATTGGATAATACAGACCTGTTCTATTAATTAACAAATTGTCTCTGGATACAACTTATAGCTTTAGCAAAATATTCGATTCTTTTCACAGGCGCTTATAATCTTACAAGTATATACTGCTTGTTCGGGAACTTGTGATGTAATGTTTACCACGCTTGTCGCGTTAGATCAATTACGACTGGATAGTGAATTCAGCCCTCACTGGGTGCTTCATACTTCAAGCACAGGAGATAAGGAAATTCAAAATAGGCTGCATTAAGTGTACTTTTTTCATCTGTACAAGATGCGACAAAATCTTTTTTTTAAACATTTCAATAAATTACAACACCAAACAAAGCAATAAAACCGCTAAGATGCAAGGGGTTGCTGGGTGTTAAAATAAGAGGGAAAAAATATTATTAAGAAGAAAGAACAATAAAAAAAATAAGGAAAATAAGACATTGGATTTAAACTTTTGAAGATTCACGTTGACTTTGGAAGGCAAGAGAGCGAAAGAGAGTTCCACAAGCGAGTAGTGCGATAGAAAAAACTATTTAGAATAGAATTTACGGTTATATTTAACCAGATTCAACTGTAAAATGATGAAACCTACCAGCCAATTTAGTACTGCGCTTAAATCCGTAAAGTCTAGATACTAATGAGGAAAATTCATCAGATTAATTACCATTTATAGAAAAACAAAAAAAAAGCTATATCACGATGGTGGGAAAATGACTGAAGCCGAAATACCAGGACATGACCGATAATATTGCAGATTATTCTTTGGAATTTTACCAAGCATATCTAAATACATAGCAAAAACACCAGGCCAGATGGTTCAGCCTCTAGAATATAAAATAATACGGATGATATAAAGATACTGACTTTCTACACTTCCTGAGCAATACAAAAAAAAAACAAGCGATAACAGTGTACTTATGAAGCCTATTTTTTTAATTCAATCGAGAGTAATTCTAGCTGTTCAGTCATTGAATGTCCAAAGTTTACTGTATGGAAACGGTCAATCTCAACATTATCATTACACTAGTGCTAAGTGAAGTTTATTATCTTACTATTCCTTCCAGACCATTTTCTATCACCCGTTTACATGAGCTCATTAGGGAGGTTACTTGATGTTCTTCCTGGCCTTCAATATGTCATTTTTATGTGCCATTGCTTTTCAGGACGTAGGCGAACATGGCTCTCCACCTCCTTCTATCCCTTGCAGCTCCCAACAAGTTTCTTCCCTCTGCTTCCTGCTCCAGACCACGCCCCGTTATCCACTTGATTAAGCCCGCTAGGTATGTCACGCGTTGTTTTCCCTTGTCTCGCTTCCCCTCTATTCGACCCATGAGTATCAGATTCTCCTGGCCCTCCTTCCTCATTATGTGTCTCAGAAACATCAACTGCCTCTTCCTAATTATAAGCATTCTCCTTGTTTACAACCCCTTTCAGACCTCATCGCTGCTCACGCGCTCGGTCCATGATATCCTTAGCATCCTTCTGTAGAACGACATCTCCATCGCCTCGAGTCTTTTCTTCATCTTTTAGAAAATCGTACAAAATTCGCTGCCGTAAAGAAGGACAGATGACACGTTACAGCTCAGTATTTTTTTCTTTGTTACCAAAGAAATCCTCCTGTTTCGCAATACTCTGTCCAGCTTTTGGAATGTGTCCTTGGCCATCCCAATACGTCTATGGGTCTCAGTGTTGCTCTTACCGTCCGCTGTCAAGACGCTTCACAGTTATTTAAACCTCTGCGTCTGCTTGATTGTAGTGTTCCCGACTTGTAAATCGCATTTTGGGCTCATCCTCTTCCTGATGACCATGAATCCTGTTTTCTTGTAGTTTGTGCTTAGTCCTTTCTTCTCGCTCTCCGTCATTACCTTCTGTAGGAGATTTTGTCATTTCTTTTCCGTGTCTGCTATCAGTACCGTGCCCTCTGCGTATCTTGTACGTGTGTCAAATTCATCAAGCATTCTTTCCTCATTATGTTACCCATATATTTCAACTACATTCTTTTGAATGTAGGAACAGGTGCACTTTTCGTTCGCATGTGCCTTAAAACTTCCTCATTGCATTCATATTCCTTCAGTGGTATTCCCAGCATCCATCTGTAGAAGCCTATCTCCTTTGCTTCAAGTTTCTTCATCTATATATATAAAACAGAGGATGTCTGTCTGTGTGATACCTTTTCACTCGAGATCCACCCAACCGATTTTGACCAAACTTGGCATATACATTGTACAGTGTAAGAGATAGGTTCGTAGCGTAAAAAATCAGTAATTATTCAAAAATCAACAATCGATAAAACCGATCAAAATTCGTTGAATTCAATTTTTTCCCTTCAAACTCGGTGTGTAGGTTACTTATATCATGATGAGCCCAACGATATTTCATTATTTCTACGCCACTGCGTTTAGCGAAAAACCACGAAACGAAAAATTTATTTCAACACAAATCGATTTCAACAGAAATTTTAAACTAAAATCTCCTTCAGTTATCAAGCAATCCAATACAAATTTCACACCGCGTAAATAGCGAAAAATGGCGATTTTTACCGGTTGCTTTCTTATTTTTCGTTGATCTTTCAACCAATTCATCAAAACTTAACAATTGCTTTGTAAATGTATCTTCTTTTACATCCCTGGTAGCACACTGACAAATTGAATTTCAGAAACTCCAAAATAATTGTGGTCTGAAGTTAGTCTTCATGTTGCTTGTTTTACCCCTTCATGTCCTTGGCTAACTTCAATTGAATAAATACAGACTACTTCTGTTATATCAGTAACTGCATCAATTCAAAATGTTTTTGATTAAAGTATTTTAAAGCATTCTTGAGATAGATAGATCGATAATAAACAATCTTAGATAGATAGATAGATAGATAGATAGATAGATAGATAGATAGATAGATAGAAACAGACTAAGATATGAGTACTCTAAGAAAAATCCTAACAGATTTGATAAATAGATAGATATTTAGATAGATCCGAACAGATAGATAGATAGATAGATAGATAGATAGAGAGATAGATAGATAGATAGATGGAAATGTTTTATAACGGTAAAGAAAAATTGATTCAGTCAGACGAATGTAAGGTTGTTCATTTCGCACTAATGCCCTTGGAGAAGGGATGAATTCCCCACATTGAATTACACCGCGTTTAAATCATTGCCCGCTGCTGCTAACAAGTAATCCTTAACAATCTATCATATATTGTATGAAGAGGGAATGAGTACTGTCAAATCATTCCATTTCACCGAGGAATGGCATGATGGACTCAGCCTGTTAACCCGATTAATGTTTCCTGAGAAGGAATATATACATACATACATACATATATACATGCATACATTATTGTGTGTGTGTGCGTAATATAACGATATATAATTTATATATCAACAAACTGTATTTAGAAAAATATGACAAATTGGAAAAAAGTATTTTCTAATTTGACATATTTTTCTAAACATATATATATATATAAACAAATGCATGTATATATATATATATATATATATATATATATATATATATATATATATATATATATATATAAATATATATATATAAATAAATGAATATATATATATATATGTGTATATATATATATATATATTATGGCATTTTAAAAAATAATATTTTCAGAAAGAATAATTTTTTGAAAGAATATTTTTTTGAAAGAATTTTTTTTTCCAATTTAGCCATATTCATCTATATTCTTTCAAAAATTTTGAAACTACCAGCGACTCTCGTTTCATGCGCATATGTAATCGTGGCAGAATCAACAAAGTCCAGTCCGATGAAGTCCTAACGGATGAACAGCGTCACAAAGACTGTTTCCCAGTTTGTCATACTATTTCCTCAATACTGTTTCTTCACACACACACACACACACACACACACACACATATATATATATATATATATATATATATATATATATATATATAATGGACTCTCCTGTCGGTTTCAACGTATGAGGATCTGACAGCTTAATTGATTCAGTTATGAAATTTTGTGCGATAATCTTAAGTGGCATTTAAGACTTGCTAGTTATTTACAAAGGAGGCCATATATGGAGCAAGAGTGAGGATTGTGAGATGAGATCCCTGTTAGATTGGCTGACCTTTTAGATCTTGCTCTCGCTTATTGAAGATGATTCAGACAAGCAGATTGAAAATTGCTGAGTCCACTAAAACACGTTGATCTCCATTCTACCCGCTCCAAAGCTAAGCGCTCAAGGGTGTTATGTGGTATATTGACTGCTGACAAGCTGCTTTTCAGCTTGTCGTTCAATCTTAGCCATGGGCGTCCTACATTCCTGTAGACCTGATCTAACTTGCTGTACATTAGGATCTTGGGTAAGCTGTCATCAGACATTCTCAAGACATGACCAGTCCACCGTATACATATATATATATACAAGAACTTCCTCACTTGTTCTCCTCCTTAGTGAACAACTGCTAGCGGAGCAGTCATGTTCGAACTGTAACAGCAATAAGAAAACTAGCGTGGTCAAGCTCAAACCTAGATCACATGACCACAATAGTGTCACCTATAAGTACGTATAAGCAAATGGTAGTATAACAAACCTAGAAATATTTTATAGCGAAAGGGTGGATAATTTTTGTCTTATTCTCGTCTATGGAGTCCGTTATCATCTGAGAGGCCCTTCTCTGCCTATCCTCAGCATAGTTGATGCTAACCACCTGAATATTGACTCCTTACGCGTTTCTCAGGCTAACGTTCTCGGTGTTTACTACACGAAGGTACACTTATCAATTGACCTAAAGCTAACTTTACCCGAGCACCTGACGGAGCGGCATGTGACACAAAGCAGGTTTTCCGAGGCCCGGGAAAAAATTCCCCATAGTGCCAGTAATAATGGAGTCGGGTTTGTCTACCTGCGCGGACGTGACTCTACCCTTCGACATAGCCTCGTATGGGTTCCTCTCCGCGCAAAGGCAGAGATTTCGACAAGCATTAAGAGCTTAACACGCGGCTAAGACCTAATGCTAACTCGGTATTTACCCGAGCTCTCCATAGAGCTTGATGTGGCTCAAGGCCGGTTTAACGTGTTTTTGTTTTTGGGGTTTTTTTTTCCGAGCCCGTAGGCCCGGGTAAAATTTTCCCGTTGTGTCTGTAATAACAGGGTCTGGTTTGTCTACCTCCGCAGACAAGACTCTAGCCTTCGGCAAAGCATCGGCTGGGTTCCTCTCTGCGCAAAGGCAGAGACTTCGACAAGCACTAAGAGCTTACTCTGTGTCTAAGCCATAATACTAACTCTGCCCAACTCTGCTTATTTACATAAACGGACGATTCTATTCATTTATGTCTTATATGACAAACTTGAAAGACTGTACTGAATCTAATGCTAGATCAGTTGCTAAGCAAGTTGTCTCACCGTGTCGTGCGAGATAATTCTTCTTTCCAGACTATACTCTACATATCTATAAGGCTACCATTTGTCCATGCTTAGAATATCGCTGCCATTTATAGTCAGGTGTCCCTGCTATTTACCTGGAGCTCCCTGATAAAAACCAAAGAAGAATCAGCAATGTTATTGGTTGTGATCTGGCAGCTCGGCTTCAGTCAATCCCACCGTCGTAAGGTTGTCATCCCTGTGCCTTTTCTATAAATACATTCATGGTAATTGTTCAGATGAACTCTTCGATCTGGTACCTAGAGTTGTTTTTTTTTGTTTTTAAATTTACGCGCAGTACTCTACTGGCGTCGAGATCTCATCAATTTACAGCTAACTTGGCTAGATGTAATCGTAAATTCTATGCTAACAGTTTTTTTACTTGTCCTTCTCACTCATGGAACTCCCTTCCGGCTCCATCCTTTCCAGCTACCTTTAGTCTTCACCCTCTCAACTGTATGTATCTATCACTAAAGTACAAACTTTCATTATTTTTCCAGGATTCACCTCAGTATTTATACTAATATGAAAATTCTGTTGTCTAAATATCCTTCTATTTTGTTAAATCTTTTTCTCAATATTTCTATATTTATACAGGTTTTCTCGTTCAAGATAATCACTTGCTACCAATTGTCATTGTCTTTTTAATTATTTTAATAAATTTGCCCATTGGCACCGCAAAGGTCATAATTAGAATTATTTTCATTATGTTTCATCCTGGAATTTTTTATTTTATTTTATTTAAAACCACCCAAAAGAAAAGTATTTCTGGACCGTGTCTTATTTATGGTCAAATCCGCGCCCATTTCGTTTTAATTTCGTTAACGTCTTTACACTATTTTCTTTTATGGGTTTTTCACTTGTTGATTTCCGCCGGCCTTCCGGCGCTAGAGTGTCGACACGCCTCGCCAGATAACACCGCCCCCACACCCCACACCAAAACTAAAAGAAAGAAAAAGCGACGTAGTAAAGAAAGTTTTTTTTTTTTTTTTAACTTTGATTTTTTTTTTCTTTTTCTGCTGTTTGGACAAACTAAATTGGATAGTTTTAAAAGATTCGATAATTTTTCTTTTTTTTTACGCAAATATTTGAACCATCATGGCGAGGTTGAAAATTAAAATTTTTATCGTGTTATTTTATTTTGACCATCTTAAACATGCATATTTTGCAATGTCCTACTTTACACTACACACGCATTCACATAAATTATGCCCGACTCGTAGCTGACTTAGATTTCTCCTACTGGTGCCAGTGGAAAGTTTTCAAAACCAGCCGAAAATTTAAACAGGAATTTTCCCACGTAGAAGATCGGCAGTACACTGTATTCCTTACCCTACATGACTTTGTACGATAGTTGCTTTCAAATTCCTCTTATTTTCTGTGCTTAGCTTACTTTCGGGTACTAAATGCGGAAAAAAACATGGACATGGGTAAATCAGATACGTAATAATGGCGATTTTAATAAACGGGGGTGACTGAAATAACAGGAAGGTCTGATAAATGATAATGGAAAAAGTTATATTAGTCGTTTCCTTATAAGGACATTCATTCACCGAGAAGCCATTACCACGCCATCGGGCTGAGATTAAAGTGTAGTATCTGTCCTTTTCATCTATAATGGCAATAGTAATATTAATCGTTTCTTATGAGGAACAATTTAATATTCATGAATTGAGCAGAAAGTTTTACTATCGATCAAAATTATCAAATCGTTGTATTAAAACAATTTTTCAGGAAAATGTGTTTTCCCAAATCCAGTAAATGTTATCGCTCTTTCCAGTATTGAAGGGAGCTTCCTTCCTAAACTTTTGTTCGAAGTCGTGTAGAACAAAAACATCTTGATTAAATAATTATTTTCTTTTTGAGTTACAAGTGTTGTTGCAGTTGAAAGTCCTCAAGTTAGGTGGTTTCTCTTATTTGGTAGAGTACTTTGTTTAAGATTTTGTAGCGCCAGTCGAAGAAGGTTCAAATAAAGGTGGTTCTTGTTAAGACTTAGGAGGCACGGTGGAGTAATGGATAGCGGCTTGGATTGAACAGACTGGGTTCTATAGCCTTGGATGGCAACTGGTCTAGAAGAAGGAAAAACTCTGAATTCAAAACCTGCGGAGGGTCGTTTGAGGACCTTGTAGCACGTAGTGCACCAGGTCTCTGTAATCGGCCCTTCAAAAAAAACTAAACCTTCACCACTATAATCAAATCTGATGTCCTATACATGCGGGTTGAGGACCGCTTGTGAATTCCAAATTCCCATGAAACTCCAATATTGGAGCCGGCTCAACCCACCTCGGGTGAATGCCGTTACAGATAGGGTAGATTGTTAAGACTTACAGGATTATTCTGTTCGAAGCAACCTTTAACCAACGATCTGAAAAAAGCGATTATACAGCGCTGACAGTACCTGTCTATATTTCTGAGATGAGGTATTATGTAAATTAATAACATTATTCGGACTATTGTCCTCATCTTTCTCGCCATATTTATTACAACGTTTCGGCCTTTCAGTACCTGTCTATATTTCTGAGATGAGGTATTATGTAAATTAATAACATTATTCGGACTATTGTCCTCATCTTTCTCGCCATATTTATTACAACGTTTCGGCCTTTCAGTATCTGTCTATATTTCTGAGATGAGGTATTATGTACATTATTTACATTATTCGGACTATTGTCCTCATCTTTCTCGCCATATTTATTACGTTTCGGCCCTTCAGTATCTGTCTATATTTCTGAGATGAGGTATTATGTAAACTATTTACATTATCCGTTTTATCTTAGAGATTCCAATGGTAATATTCGCTGTTTCTTATGAGGAAAAATAAGAGTTGTTATGAATAATGAAGAGTGATGTCCCCTTGTTTTGTTACTCTCCTCTTTGTGAGAGCTATTTTTGTTTACTGAGACTATAAAAGGACACTATACGCAAACCTTGTATTCTCAGTTAAATAAAGCTTTCTTAAAACCTATACCTACGTATTTTTCTCATTACAATAATATCTGTTTAATGAATTTAACTAAACTGCTTTCAGAAAAATGAATATATTTTCTTAAAATCTATGAAACGTTAAAATTTTAATAAATGTTCATCAATGGCCAACAAATAAATAATTTATATCCAGCCACGTTCGAAAATCGTCTTAGTATGTGTTAATGACAATGATATTTGCCTAATGTTAATTTTCCTCGCCTTGCTCACTTTTACTCTTTGCTTCTGAAGAAGCATTTAGAATTTAGGAAAAAAAAATCTAAAAATTACCTAGCAAGGAGATTTGATAGCGTTGCATAGGGGAGTACGAAATCAGAGAAGATTGATGATGCTATGACAGTAGAGGGTTAATCGTCTATGACCTATATTTTTGCAGACAGTCATCTGGAAAATAAACGTCTGACATGAACGTGTGTACTGAATTATTTCATGCGGGGAAAATGTCCCCATTGATATTCAATGAGGCTTCCTGACAAGAACATCTTGTACTTTTAAAATCTAAGACGTTTTTATTCGTTTTTTTTTCTACTGATTATTATATTACTGAAAGCAGTTAAACTGTCAAAAACCAAACAGCTGAGTAAGTCAACAAAGAATAATTAAATGATAATTAAAACCATTGCCTGCCAACAAACAGGCTTGGATAAGACGCGATTAAAAGACAATGACTGATGTGTGAGAGGATACATGACAAAAAGAAAGGATACCAGATGGAGCAAAGGGTTGATTGATGTGCAATGTACGGAAAATGGACTACAAAAAGCAATACAAAAAATCTTCTTCTTCTTTGTGCCATGTACTTTTGGGAATTTGGCAATCAAGGTTCTCCCCAACTTCCTATCATTAGTCGTTATTAACAAAGTCTCTCTTTATATGTCTATATGTCTGAAATGAAGTATGATTACTTACATTATTTACATTATTCGGACTGTTATCCTCCTCTACTTTTCCATATTCACATTTCTGCCATTGTACAGTCCAGCCTTCTTCAGGTGATTGGAATTTCGAACTGAACCCATTATTTAGTCCAGTGGTGTAGATTATTCTAGTTCCACGTGCCATAACTCTTCCGGGTGTCTCTCCAAGTTTTTGGTTCACAACTCTTTGGGTCTAGTCACTTGTCTAGTCACAACGATTTTATCCACTCGGTCATGTGTCCTTGAGGAAATAAAGGGTCCGGTTCAAAATTACAATCACCTGAAGAAGGTCGGAGCGTACAACGGCCGAAATGTTGTGAATATGGCAATGAAGATGAGGATAAGAGTCTGATGATGTAAATCATGCAACTAATCATAATAACTCATCTCGGAGATATAGACACATACTGAAGAAACATTCCAATCACCTGAAGAAGGCCACAGCGTACATCGGCCGAAACGTTATGAATATGGCAATGAAGATGAGGATAACAGTCCGGATAATGTAAATAATGCAAGTAATCACAATACCTCATCTGAGATATATAGACAGATATTGTAGGCTGGAGTTTACAATGGTCAAAGCGTTGTGAATACGGCAATGAAGATGAGGATAACAGTTCGAATAATGTAAATAATATAAATTCTACTACCCACGTACACAGAGCCGTAACTGGATGCTTACTCGCTGTTTTCCTCTACCCCTCCTATTATCCTGTGAGTGCGGAATTTGCCAAGCCTTCCTTTCTCATTATACGTTTCCCAGAAATGTTAAATGTCTCTTTCTGATTCTATGTATAAACGTCTTTTTTTGTTTTCTTTCATGCATACTCTGTCCATGTTATTCTCAGTATCCACATCTATGCAGCCTAACATCCTTTCTTCATCTGTGAAGAAATTGCCAAATATCCCCGGATTGATATTTCATAGCAGTTCAGTTCTTTTATCTTTGTTTCTCACAAAATTTTCGTGTTTCTTAATACTTTGTTTAGCTTTTGTAAGGCATCTTAGTCTATTCTAATGCACATCTGTATCACATTTTTCATCGTCTCTTAAAATATTTACCAGACAATGGGATCCCTATATTTACCTGATTCTGACATTTAAAATTCGTAGCTTGCATTATGGACTATCGGCCTTTATCATGCGGTCTGTTCATGGTATTCGTAGCAACCTTGCTTTCACTGTCAATATAGGAGGATATAACGTAGTAAGATTGTCGATAATGTCATAGAACAAAAGAAAGTTCAAATAGAAAAGGACTAGTTAGCTTGACCAGGCTCTATAGCATTACAAAATAACCAGTGTTGCGAGCCAGTCTACGCGTTGGGAGATAAACACGTGTGTCTCCTGAAATGCCCGCAACAAACATGGCGGACTCGGGATGTGAGTCCGCGTAAATAAATGTAAAGAAACAACAAGAACCGTTATATATGTACAAACAAATGATAAAATATTAACAACAAAGTGTTACAAGTGACAAAGACAATGATCTGTATAACAAATGAATGTAAGAAATTTTTTGGCCCAGTGTATGTGAAGTGAGTGAATGTGTGTACGTACGTGCATGTGTGTGAATTTATTGTTCATACTTTTTCCAAAATGGGAACGCGATCTTCCGAGAGAGATTGACATGTTGTCGTATAAGTGGAAAAGTAAGAAGAGAGTGATAAAAAATTATCGCGGTGTATTTATAGTGTTGGAGAGCGTCTCCTAGAAACAGTATCGAAAATTAGGAGATAACACGATACCAGTCTAAAAAAGGGACTAGTCGGCATTAAAAACAGTGGGAACGTCAACAGCAAAGTCATGGCAAATCGGATATAAAAAACGAAATTTTCGAATGAATATTCCCCTATTTTCTAGGACATAACATTTACACTATTTACATTATTTACGTCATTCAAACTGTATTGTTTCGACCGTTATACGCTCCGACTTTCTTCAGGTGATATACGTTGGCATTTCGAACCGAATCCTTTATTTCCTGTACCAGGGTAGATTGTTCTAGTTCCACGTGCCATGCCTTTGGGGTTTTTTTTGGTGGGGGATATCTCAGTTTCAGCAAATTCCCTTAATTAGTAACTCAGTGTACCAAAGCGTTTGTTGATCAATCTAAAAATTGAATTGACCCAAAGAGTTGTAAGTTCAATACTGGCAGAGGGGAGAAAACTTGGAGTGTTGAGTTAGCAAAATATAGCCAATAAAGATGAGGAAAACAGCCCGAATGATGTAAATAGTGTAAATAGTTAAAATACCTCGTTCAGAAATATAGACAAACATTGAAAAAATTATATAATTATATAATATTTTGTGAAGTCAACGAACACTCGTTTGACATTTTTGTGATGTCAACGAATACTCGTTGCCACTTTCGTAATGCTCGTTGTAGTAGAGACTTTGTAATCGCAGATACAACTATAGTAACGCCGTTGAACAATACTGGTGCCAGGCGCCTTCGAATAACACTCGCACTAATAGTACTTGCTTGATGATACTCGCTCGAATAGTAATCTGTATAGTATCCGAATAGAGAAATAGTATAGTAAATAGAGTAGAGAATAGCGTTCCGTATAGTATTAGAGGATAGAGTAGAAATAACGATCAATCTAGACGTCACGCGACTTCCTATATATGCGTTCTTCTATGGTCACGTAGTTTACTTAATTCGATAATGGGATCGCCTGTGTTTTGCTCACTGGCGATCAGTGTTCAAATTCAAGTGTCGACAGCGACCTTTTATTCATTGATAACATAATATTATCTTTATATCCTTATATTTGGCTTTTATAATATTTAATTAAATCTATTTTGCGTTTATCTGTTAAAAAGATGTGAGCAAGACTCGATTGAACGTTGCTGAAAGTGTCTTACTTCATAATGAAAGGCCACAACCTTTAGAAATATGTTTAACAGATTTATGCGAATGGAAACGAAAGACGAATTTGAAAAAAAAAATATCCGAGATTTATATAGACGTTTGATTCTGTTCCAGCCACAACATTTATTTTCAAAAGAAATATACGACTTTTTCCAATAATTTTCGAATGGTTGTAAACTAATTTTGCCAATATATGAGCGCGAAAATTTATGCGTCTACACAGAAAGAGACAATTGAATAGACGAGATGATAGAAATAGATAGATAGATAGATAGATAGATAGATAGATAGATAGATAGATAGATAGGAACAGAATGAGATAGATAGATAGATAGATAGATAGATATGAAATATATGAGATAGATAGATAGATATGAAATATATGAGATAGATAGATAGATAGATAGATAGATAGATGTGAAGAGACTGAGAACGATATATTAACCTTCCTTGCGTAAAAAGTTTTCAGAATACAAATTTAAAACTTTTTTATTGAATTTTCTTAATGAAGTTTCGCTTGATTTCTCTCGCTGTGGGGATAAATTTCAAAGTTAGACTTTCATTCATTCATAAAGTAACTCTCATGGCTTTCACAAATATCTTGCGAGTTATTTGTTTGTTTCCTTTTTTACCCTGGTGCAGGGGAATTGAGGGAGGAAGCATCCTTTTCATTTTTTTTTTTTTTTTTTTGTTGCTTTCTTCAGTTCGAGAACAGATTTTGCTTCTTTGAAAAAAACAAAACAAAACAAAATAAACTTGCATCGATGCACAAGGAAAGCAGAAATCAAATATAGCTCAATTGTAAGGTTTGTAGCACCTTTTGTTTTTTAAAGTAAAATTTGTTTTCTACTACCTTTTTCATAAACAACGTACCCAGATTGGGCGTATGTTATAATTAATTTTGTTTCTGTCATCATAGCAAGAATGGATTGAAATTACTGCAAAGGAAGAAAAGCCAACTGAAATTTGCCTCCAGAGCTATATCAGTTAGTATAAGTTTGTTTGTTGTCTTCAAAAAGCCACTGGAATGTCATAATGTTATTTTAAGCTCCTCCCAGTTCAGAAAACATTGAAACAATCTTCTGGTTGATGAAACCCAAAAATCTGAACACGAAATAAAATCTTCATTCTTTTTTAGAAGACATTTTTAATGATGATAGTAATCTTAAACGTTTCATTATATGAAAGCATTCGGCATTCATTGAAAGAGCAGCCAATGTTACTATCGGTTTAGACTTATAAAATCTCTCTATTAAAACAATTTTTCAGGAAAATATCTCACTCAAGTCCACTAATTGTTATACCTCTTTACAGAACGAATGGTGGGGGTCCCTTTCTAACCTTTCGTTGGAGATTGTATAGAACGTCAATGTCATTATGTTCTCTTAGTATTATATTTTCTATCCATTTTAGTTGTTTAAGCTTTTGAAGGTCCTCAGGCGATTTGGTTCTTTTGTTCGTTTCAGTTCTTTGTTTGGGATTCTGTAACAGCAGTCAACGAATTTCGAAGATAGATGGGCGTCGGCAAAACATACAGGCTCGAAGCCATTTTTTATCATTGATCTGAGTAAGCGGTTGGACAGAGCTGACAGTTTAGATATTTCCGTATGGGTCTGGCGCCATACACAATATCCATATGAGGGTTTCGATCTGATTGGTTTAATTATGCACGTGACTTTTTACTTAGGTTTTCGTTGGTTTCTTTTTTTGGAGTGTGCGTGTGTGTGTGTGAGAGAGAGAGAGAGAGAGAGAGAGAGAGACTAAACCTAGCGCCGCCTAATCAATTTCCTTATTTCTTATAGTCAATTTGTTATAACTGATTCAAACTGTTTCAAATATTGTTCTTTTCTATGACATATATATATATATATATATATATATATATATTATAAATTAACTGATTTAAAAAAAAATATGGTTTCTTCGCTACACAGGGATTACCATGTTTGGTTTTTGAAACATGGCAATTCCTGCGTAGCGAAGAAACCATATTTTAAATCAGTTAATTTATAATATTTATGTTCTGTACATTTACATTGAGCACTGGTTTGTAAAAATAAAAATATCAATAATAACACTGGATTACATATCTTACTGTTCTTCCTTTTTTTTAATATATATATATATATATATATATATATATATATATATATATATATATATATATATATATATATATATATATATATATATATATATATATATAATGTAACAAAAATTGTCCACATGTTAGATTAAGCTTTGAACAATTGTATCTTAGAAATGATATCTTACTGGAATTCTCCGAGGTTTTTCTAACACTATTGAACAATATTTGAGCAATAACAATGTATAATTACTCCCCAAGCTTAAGAGAAGAATTGTGATGAATTCGATCATAAACGAAAATGATATGTTCATCATTAATTAATCATAGCTAAGAATCGGAAGCTAATGACGGATTGAAACTAAGTTCAAATATATATATATATATATATATATATATATATATATATATATATATATATATATATTTGTGTGTGTGCGTGCGTGTGTATATATATATATATATATATATATATATATATATATTTGTGTGTGTGTGTGTTTGTGCGTGCGTGTGTATGTATGTATTATTCCACGTTCATTTTCCAACTTATTCAAGATGATCTTCGTCCCCTCTAACCTTCTAATTTTCTCTCCTGTAGTAATAATGTGCCTCTAAGGTTTCATGTAACATTTCATTTTCATGTCTTTTTCACTGTTATAGCTGAAACCCCTTTCCCTCTCTTGTGGCAAACGTCTTATGGATTGAATTAGAGCTTTTCTAACTCATCTCTTTTGCTCTAAGTTGAAATGATGATCCTATTGTGACCACCTGATCCAGTTTATTCCTCTCTACTGTTCCCTCTTTTTTAAACTTATTTACCGTTCTCTTCATGGTACTGTGACACGATTACGACAATTTTGCTGTTACATCCAGTATATATATATATATATATATAAAGAAATATGGTTTTGACGTGTGATATATTTATGGAATAATGTGCTCAATATCAGAGATAGAGCGTATGCAAATATAAATATAAAATTGAACATTGAAGTCAATACCCAGAGGCGACATGCTGTTTCATGCTAGATGCAATCGTCAGGCCGCGAATGTTGCATTTTTCCTCGACTATTTATATACATGGGTGCATTGTGGCTAATCTATTCTGGCGGGTTATTTTTGCGGGAGTGGCTTGTTTGTTTATTTATTTGTTTGGGTTAATTTATTTTATGTGTTTTTCATTTTCATTTTGTATTATTTATTCTTTTCATTTTTTGATGGGATTTGCTTAGGTCGCTTATTTAATAGTTTGTTTTGGTCTGGGAAGATAATTAATGCTATTTATTCGTCCAATGTTTAGATTGCTTGCTGTTGTCTACTCTGTTAATTTGTTTTTTTTTTTTGGTGGGGGGTGTACAGTTTTTAATTCATTTATTTGGATTGATTATTTTTACTTGTTTTTCCTTATTTATGTTTATTTTTATTAGTTCTAATGGTTATTTTAGCAGGGGCGATTTTTTAATTTGTTCATTTATTTATTTATTTGGATTAATTTTTATATATTATTTATTTATTTTCTTATGTTTTTTTTATTTTTCTATATTTTTATTACTGTATTTGGTTTTCAATTTTTGAGTAACGTAGTAATTTTTTATCGTCATATAGCAGTTATTTTTTACGTCCAATTTTTGTATTGGTTATTGTAGTCGATTCTAACGGTTATTTTGGCGAGATTAGTTTGTTAATTTGTTTATTATTATTTACTTTATTTATTTATTTATGTGTGTGGATTCTTTTTACTTCTTTTTTATGTATTTTATTTTTATTTATTCTATTTTGTCTATTCTCACGGGAGTAGTTAATTTGTTTATTATTTGTTTGGGGTAATTTATTTTACATGTTTATATTATTTATTTGTATTCATTCATTTCAGTTTTCGATTTTTAAATAACGTAGTAAAAATTTGTTTTCAGGTCTACATTTTGAGATGAGCTCAGATCGTTTATTTAGTAATTTATTTTGGCCTGGGAAGGTAATAATAGCTATTTTTTTCCTCGAAGCAAAGTTTGCAGGTTTTTGATTGAGTGCTGTAGGCTGATGATCTTTTCCTTTTTTTCCATATTTTTGGTGTGATTGGTGTTTTGTTTTTAATTTTCCAGATATACTACGGCGTCCTTCAACTGATGGGTATTTTGGTATAATTCATGTGAAACTCTATCCTTGATAATACCCCCAACATAGCGTTGAAATAGAAAATGATATTAAGAATGAGTGACAAGATTTTCGGATCACCCTATAGTTCGCCTGAACAACTGACATGAAAATAGAGACTATATCTCTGTATTTATTATTACAGGAAAATTATTTTATCCAAACAGGAAAGAGACTGGATAAAATAATTTTCCTGTAATAATAAATACATTGAGCTCTTTTTGTGGATCAATTTTAATATTTTATATTACTAGAATCCACTTGGATTATATAACAATGGATTTGTTACCTTTACTATATATATATATATATATATATATATATATATATATATATATATATATATATATTATTATTATTATTATTATTATTATCTTTGATTTCTGGCGTTTACACATTTCTTTCCGGGTCCCTTAGGTCTAAGGTTAGAAATGGCGTCATGACACTTTCCACTGACAAAAAAAAAATGATTACATAGATAAAGCCCTTCGTAAGGTGTGGGCTGTACTTGTCAGAACAATTTTCTGTATCTCCTTGAGGCATGGACTTCCAGGAATCCGTTCAATTAGTCTACTGGAATCTTTTCCAACCAGTCCTAGGGCTCCAACTACAACAGGGATTGTTGATGTTCCCATATGCCACATTTTCGAGATTTCTATTTCAAGGTCCTTGTACTTTGACAACTTTTTGAATATCTTCAAAGATACATTGCAGTCGGCAGGGACTGCAATATCAATAAGGAGGCACCGTTTTTGGTTGTGGTTTATTATTATTATTATTATTATAATATTATTATTATTATTATTATTATTTTAAACATTATATTTCTCCATTTATTTTCTCAAGCCCATCAAGTTAAAATCATTAATATTTTAGAAATTATATATATATATATATATATATATATATATATATATATATGAACTGTAAGCCTTGCTATATGCCTGAATGTGCGGCAGCTGCCGCGCACTGCTATTATTATTTCTGTCTTATTGAAAAAATGTTTTTCTAGACACATACTTTGTCCTCGTAATCCTTATAATCTTCACTTTCATTCTTATCACACACCTCATTCATCATTGCCATTTTAACAGTAACCCTCTACAATGAGTGGGCTTTGAGCATAAGGTGAATTTTCGTATTAAAAACAAAATTAAGGTGTATTAAAAGTATTTTCATTTTTACAGACCTTTAATTAATTTAATCTTATTTCTTACATATACTGTCCTTATTTTTACCAACCCCCTTCCATAAAACCACATGGTACTCTTTAACCTCTATACCCACGAAAAGGGAGGCACGGTGCAGTAATGGATAGTGACTCAAATTGAGAAATCAGAAAGTCTATTTTGAATTCCAGTCAAAACCATTACATTCACTGACATGTTAATACCTTTGAGAAAGGTATGAATCCTCTTCTTCT